TGTCCCACGACTTGAAGGGATCGAATCGTAGCAGTCTGTGAGCTGGAGGGGTTGATTAGTCGAAGAGAGTCTCGTGCCCACCAAGCTATCTCTTGTCCTCACAGTAGACGTCTCGATTGTTTGGGAAAGAAGTTTGTGATCGTTGTCTGTTTCGTCGCCGATCTGCTCGCCACAATAATTTCCTCTTCGATGAACGCCAAGGGCCGGAGCGATGGCAGCAGACATTTCTGTTGCTGCAGATAAAGGCGAAGCGTTCTTAAAGCAGAAAGTGCTTTTTGTGTCGACACTGCGTTTATGGTGGAATCGGTTTCACTTTTTTCATCTTCCTCGTCGTCATCTTCGCTGTCCTCAGTTTTTAGATCTGCGAGCAAGTCTGTCGCCGGGCGGTCCCAGTCTACTGGATTATTGTCACAAGTGGCGAGGTCTTGATCAATTTCAGGAAGTCTCGCGAATGGTACTCCGAATAGGGCATTACTCAGCTCGTCAAACCTTTCTGGTACTCTTACTTGTACATCGGGGATATCACCCTCATCCGGAGTGGGTTGCGTGAAACCAACCTTATTAAAGCATTTTGTGGGTTTTATTTTACCAACTGCCAAGCTGTTGCGTTTGGTGAAAGACTGCAGCCAGCCGTTAGAAGCAGAAAATGTTGTTATGCCAAAGTGGCTTGCGAATTCCAGAGCTTTCTCTTTGAGCATAGGTCCTGTTATGTTGATTCCTCGACGTGTTGCGTCCAGATACCATTCGTCAAGGCGATCGTTGATCGGTTTGTTGCTTGTGGCTTTCACATAACGTCGTTTGGCAAGAGGGGCTGAGGCTTCAAACTCAGCGGTCAATTCTGTTTTCCTTTTCAGTATACCTTGAATTTGCGTTTTTCCGACTTTAAACCGTTCTGCAATGGCTCTTGTTGAATTCCCTTCATCGCCCAGTTTGATAACTTGCATCCGCTCTTGTAGAGTAAGGGTTTCCTTTTTGCCGGTAGACATGGTGTCTTGTCTCAGCAGCAACGGCAACGACGACAGAGCAGGAAGCAGCAAGTGCTGGGGATTGTGAGTGAAGGCCTATTGGAGGGGCTCATGTTTTATACCCCTCTCACCCGAAGTTTATCCTACTATTTTTTTCTTTCATTTTTTGTTGTTGCTCTGGTCTGATGACTTCAGTTTGTTTGTACTACAATTTATTTCGTCTGTGACATTTTAAAGTCAATACACTGTCATGGTTTACGTTCCTGCTTTGATGATGTCATCAGCAGCTGGATTTTTCTAATGTGAAATAATAATTTATTTTTGTTTGCGCAGTGGGTCAACATGAAGTCTGGCGGCTTCTTTGACACGAGCGTTATATTCTGTGAAGCGTGTGATTAGACAAGGAAAACAGTTTGCGAGGGTAAAACATTACGAAATTTCTCAGACTGGGGAGACTGGGCGTCATGGTAAAACAAACAAATTTTATTTGTCTGCCATTACCCGGAGCCTAGACGGTCAGAGATAGTATAAGAACGTATAGCTCGGAGCACAAGCGACACGTTTGTCACGAGTTCATGGTGTGACCAGAGCCTCTGTAAACTCTCTGGTGTAACATAACGTCCATTGTCGTTACCGAATAGGTAGTCTGGGTGAACAGAGAGGCAAGGGCTTGGTGGTAAGATAGGTAGGGGCTTTCGCACCTCACCCTCACCTTCGCCGCATGCGGCTATTGGTTCGCGGAGGTGTGAAATGTGGGAGGGGCTAATATTTTGCTGTCACCCGGACCTTCTGACATTCTAAGACTTAAAGCTCTCTGCTTGAAAGCATAATATTGAGAAAGAGGCTAGCCGTACTTAATGACGGC